GAGGCTGGAGCAGCGAGCATTTTGCTTCACGTCAAGATTTAACATTTTTTTTTTATTTGGTGGCATCTTGTACTTTTGTTTTTTTTTTTTTGAGGCAGGGTCTTGCTCTGTTGCCCAGGCTGAAGTGCAGTGTCAGTGATCAAAGCTCACTGCAGCCTTGACTTCCTGGCTCAAGTGATCCTCTTGAATAGCTGGAATTACAGGTGCAAGCCACTGTGCCTAGCTAATTTAAAAAAATTGTTCATAGAGACGAGGTCTTGCAATGTTGCCCAAGCTGATTTCAGATTTCTGGACTCAAGTAATCCTCCCAGCTCAGCCTTCCAAAGTGTTGAGATTACAGGCATGAGTCATCATGCCCATCCACATCTTGTACTTTGCATGTAGGATCTGAAAGGAAGGAATTTCAAGATATCTTCAGCTACCCCAGTGATGGGAAAGATTGATACTTTGTGGTTTTGGCTATTAAATCTGGGGTTTAATCCAGTGGAATATCACCAGTTCTTTAGCTTTCCTTGAGGGAGCTTGAAAAGAAGTTATTGGAAGATTTGCCTTGACCATCATGAAAAGAGGGGAACACTACTTTCTCTTCTCGCTGGGTATCTACTCTCTGGGTTTGCACAGTCCCCAGATGATTTCAGTACGCAGCTGTGCCGACCTAATTTTTGAGTGCAATGTCCCCTTCACACCTCAGGGCACCAGCAGCATCCATGCTGCTTCCTCTGTCTGAAATAACCCCCTGCTCTCCTTGTCAAGGTAAAGCCTCCTCTTCATCTCATCTTTTCCCAGATTATAATCACCTCCCTGATATATACATTCCTAGCCAGCTCCCTTCACTTCCATTGTGTTTCACTGGTCACAACTTATCTTCTTGTATTTATTGTGTGGTTATTTATTTATTTATTTATTTATTTATTTATTTATTTTGAGATCGAGTCTTGCTATGTGGCCCAGGCTGGAGTACAGTGGCGAGATTTTGCCTCACTTCAACCTCTGCTTCTCAGGTTCAAGCGATTCTCCTGCCTCAGCTTCCTGAGTAGCTGGGACTACAGGCGTGTGCCACCACGCCTGGCTAATTTTTTGTATTTTTAGTAGAGACAGGGTTTCACTGTGTTAGCCTGGATGGTCTCGATCTCCTGAACTTGTGATCCATCCGCCTTGGCCTCCTAAAATGCTGGGGTTACAGGCATGAGCCACCGCGTGCAGCCTGTTGTGTGGTTATTTAATCAGTGATTGACTCCATTAGACTATGTGTTCTGACAAATTAGAGACCTCATCTGTTTTGTTCACTAATCTTACCCCCAGTGCTTAGCTTGATACCTGGCATCTTATAGTGTGCAATAAATATTTTCTGACTGAATGACTGAATCAAAGTGCCAGGATAATCTAGACCAATTCTTCCAATTCCAAGTAAAAAGCTGTGGCCTAGGCCAGGTGTGTTGCCAGGTGCCTGTAATCCCAGCTACTTGAGAGGCTGAAGCAGGAGAATTGCTTGAACCTGGGAGGTAGAGAGTGCAGTGAGCCAAGATGGCGCCACCGCATTCCAGCCTGTGCAACAAGAGAAAAAAAAAATCCATTTATGAGGGCACCGAATCCTATTCATAAGGGCAGCACCCTCCTGACTCAATTACGTCAGACAGGTTCCACCTTTTAATACTGTCACAGTGGCAACACCTAAATTTTGAAGGGGACGTATTCAAACTATAGCACATGCCCTGAACAGTTGTAGTTCCTCTCCTTAACAGAAGGCTCCCCATGAGGCAAGAACTCTAAACCCAAGTCCATGAAGGGGCTCCCAGGATCTACGTCTCCCTTGAATTGTACACACTTGTGTTTGGGGAACATTTTTCAGTAGAGAGGCTGAGAGGCTTCATCTGAGACTCAAAGAGGCAGCCTCAAAGTGCTAAGAGCAACTCACACCAGCATCCTGCTGAATCTCTTCTTCCCTTCTAGCTAGAAAAGCCATCTCAAGGCCCAAGAATCTCTAGTGATAGAAACTTGGCTTAGTGTGAGGCTATGAGGCAGGCAGTGGTTAGGGCAAAGTGACTAATACACGGAATCAGAGAGAAATACTTTTGCAGCTTCAGTTGGTTAGGGAAGTCAGGGAAAGCTTCCTGGAGTATGTGCCAATCAAGTTGGGCTGCAATGGACTGTGAAGATTTAAGAGCCTGGAAGCTTCAAGAGGCTGGAGGGAAATAGAGTCCAGATTTCCTTCGGGCAACCTCAATGTCTTCACCAATGCCAATTCCCAAAAGGGGAATTGTTTAAATTGTCCAGTACTGGCGTCGTTTTCATCCAGAGATCATCCTGGATGTAGAGTTTCTTTTTCCTTTTCCCTTTATTTTATTTTTTTGAGTTGGGTTCCCAGTGTCACCCAGGCTGGAGTGCAGTAGTGTGACCATGGCTCACTGAAGCCTTGAACTCCTGGCCTCATGTGATCTTCTTGCCTCAGCCTACCAAGTAGCTAAGACTATAGGCACAGGTTTTATATATATATATGTGTGTGTGTGTGTATATATATATATTTTAGAGATGGGATCTTACTATGTTGCCCAGGCTGGTCTCGAACTCCTGGGCTCAAGTGATCCTCCTGTCTTGGCTTCTCAAAGTACTGGAATTACATTATAGGTGTCAGTTGCTATACCTGGCCCCTTCTCTCTTTATTTTTTATGATTTTATTTAATTTTTATTTTTATTTCACACACACACACACACACACACACACACACACATATATATTTTTTGAGACAGTCTCAGTCTGTTGCCCAGGCTGGAGTGCAATGGTGCGATCTTGGCTCACTGTAACTTCGGCCTCCTGGGTTCAAGCAATTCTCCTGCCTCAGCCTCTTGAATAGCTGGGATTACAGGTATGAGTCACCGCAACTGGCTATTTATTTGATGGAGATGGAGATGAAGTTTTGCCGTGTTGCCAAGGCTGGTCTTTAATTCCTGGGCTCAAGCAATTTGCCCAGCTGGTCCTTCAAAAGTGCTGGGATTACAGGTGTGAGCCACTGTGGCCAAACTATTTCATTTTTTTGAGACAGAGTCTTGCTCTGTCACCCAGGCTGGACTACAGTAGCATAATCACAGCTCACTGCAGCCTCAACTTTCCAGATTGAAATGCTCCTCAATGCTCAGCCTCCCAAATAGCTGGGAGTACAGCAGTGTGTCACCACACCTGGCTAATTTCGTATTTGTATTTTTTTTTTTTTTGAGACAGTGTCTCACTCTGTTGCCCAGGCTGGATTACAATGGCACAATCTTGGCTCACTGCAACCTCCACCTCCTTGGTTCAAGTGATTCTCCTGCCTTAGCTTCCTGAGTAGCTGGGATTACAGGTGTGCACCACCACACCTGGCTAAGTTTTGTATTTTTAGTAAAGACGTAGTTCCACCATGTTGGCCAGGCTGGTCTTAAACTCCGACCTTAGGTTGTCCTTCTGTATCAGCCTCCCAAAGTGCTGGGATTACAGGAGTGAGCCATCACACCTGGCCCTAATTTTTTGTATTTTTGTAGCGATGAGATTTCACTTTTTTGCCCAGGCTAGTCTCAAACTCGTGGACTCAAGTGACCCTCCTGCCTTGACCTCCCAAAGTGTTGGAATTATAGGCATGAGCCACTGTGCCCAGTCCTCTCACCCTTTAGAAGAAAACATAGACTGATTTTGTGATGCCAACCACTGTCTTCTCTGCTGAATTATTCATCTGCAAAATGAATTATTAATTTCCAATTTTGTACAACAAATGCCAGGCAAATAGATAGAAATGGAATTGGGACACTGGGCCTGGAGCCACATACCTCCCTAGGTTCTCCAAAGCACAGGCCACCAGGGCCAAGAAATTATGCAGGAATCCACAAGGGGCTCACCCTGGAATGCACTTGACAGAGGGTGAAGTTGGTACAAGATTATGGTGCCCCTAAAGGGTTTGGGCTCCATTACCCCTGGGCTCTCAGACCTCTCACTTTCCCGAGCCTGAGGTGTAGCCACCCCTGGCTGGCTCTGGCACAGGGATGTATTGCATATTTAGAGTGGGCTCAAGCAGCATTCTGTGGAGTGACTTGGGTTTGAATCTGAGCCTACCATCCAAGTGACCCTGGATTAACCAAGCAGGGTTTCTCAACGTCGGCTCTATTGACATTTCGGCCTGGATAATTTCTTGTTGTGGGAGACTGTTCCATGCATTGTAGGATATTGAACACCATTTCTGGCTTCTACTCACTAGGTGTCAGTACCACAGCTCCCTCCTTCCTTTTTCCCACCCCCTAGTTATGACAACCAACATATCTGTAGACATTATCAAGTGTCCCTGGTCCCCTGGGGGGGGCATAAAATTTCTCCTGCTTGAGAACTACTGGGCAAGTGCCATCACTTCTTCAAATCTTTTCCTTTCTCATCTATTCAATGAGGATCTAAATAGTAGTTACCAGCATGAGATGACAATCAAATGAGCTCATGGATTAAGCCTCAGCTTACTTGGAGTGTCTCCTACCCTGGGACTTTTCTTTTCTTCTCTTTTTGAGACAGCCTGGTAACATCTGTTACCCCGGCTGGAGAGCAGTGGCATGATCTTGGCTCACTGCAATCTCTGCCTCCTGGGTTCAAGCAATTCTGCTGCCCCAGCCTCCCAAGTAGCTGGGATTACAGGTATGCATCACCATGCCTGAATAATGTTTGTATTTTTAGTAGAGACAGGGTTTCACCATGTTGGCCAGGCTGGTCTCCAACTCCTGACCTCAGATGATCCACCCGCCTCAGCCTCCCAAAGTGCTGGGATTACAGGTGTGAGCCACCACGCCCAGCCTGGGACCTTTCCATTACATGAACTACTGGTTCTCTTTTAGGTGTAAGTTCAGGCTTAATTAGGTTTGCATTCAGCTTGCAGGTATCAAAATAACCACCATAAATGGACTTAAACAGTGAAGGGAAACGACTGGTTCATATAACTGGAGATCTAGAAGTAAGTTGAGCTTCAAGTTTGGCTGATCCAATAACTCACCTGTGTCCTCAGGGATCGGTTTTGTCTTTTTTCTCTGCCACATATAGTGAAGTGTTCTACTGAGACGTGTTCACCTTGGAGTCTTAGGATGCCCTCCAGCAGCAGTTGGCACCATGGGCTTCCTTCTTCCTTTCAGCAGCAGAAAGAACACGTGTGTTCCAGCATTCCAAGCCAGTCTTGAGAGTCAGGCTGGCTGGGCCACTTTGGTTAGATACTCACTCCAAAATTAGTGTCTTCATTCAATGGAACGGATGTACTTAAACTGTAGGTTAGTTTAAGCCTCTCAGGTCCTACCCATGGGATGGAATTGCATTCCCAAAATACATGGCTGTGTGAATACTCAAATGAAGATCTAAGCACCTAGGATTTAGGGATCAGTCCTGAACTAATTATTGTAGCTGGTAGGGAGGAACAGACTGTGTTGACTGGCTGGACCTGGGACTTGACCAACTCTTGGAGTTGGTGTCTTGGCAACAAAGAGAGGTTAGCCTCATGCAATCATAGGGACTGGAAGTGAGATGGTGGTTTCCCAATCCCAAAATAGAGATGCTGTTCCCAGAAATGGAGGAAGGGATGTTGAGCTCATGTCTTAGTCCATTTTGTGCTGCTATAACAGAATAGTAAGACTGAGTAATTTTTTAAAAAAGATGGATTCGCTCTGTTGCCCAGGCTGGAATGCAGCGGTGCAATCTCAGCTCACTGCAACCTCCGCCTCATGGGTTCAAGAAATTCTCCTGCCTCAGCCTCCTGAGTAGCTGGGACTACAGGCATGTGCCACCACCCCTGGCCAATTTTTGTATTTTTAGTAGGGATGGGGTTTCACCATGTTGGCCAGACTGGTCTTGAACTCCTGACCTCAGGTGATCTGCCCACCTTAGCCTCCCAAAGTGTTGGGATTACAGGCGTGAGCCGCCGCACCCGGCCTCAGACTCTACTTTTAGGAGAATCTAGGGTAAGTCAAAGATTTTAGCTAGTCTGATATTTGGATATGTCTTCATACTTTTTAGACATGTGAGAAAGAACTACATTTTGTGTTTTTAAATTGGCCTCCCACCTACTGATCAGGAGCTGTGGTCAGAGGATGCTGCATGAAGGGACTGAAAGTCAAGACTCTGGAATCCCAGTGAGGTCCAGGCCTTTCCTGGCAGGCAGCAGCAGCCTGCCAGCTGCTGTGTCTGGGGGGGCGGGGCGGAAGGGTGTTAGAAGCGTTCCAAGATGAACTGTTGCCCAGAGAAGCTGTCAAGGGCTGACTGCAGGCCTTGAGAACTTTATCAAGATGTCACCAGCCAAACAGAGAAAGCGGCTATGCCTCCAGTTGAGCTCCTGTGGTTCTGACCAATGTATTAGGCTACTGATGTGTTCTCAATGCCACTTGGACATCGAGTGTTTGATTGGGGTGGCTTGCCAGTGGCAAGGCACAAATCAGCCTTCACAGAGATAGTAAGAGGAAGCTGGAGAATGGGCTGTCTCTCTGTCTCTAGTGACCTTGCCGCTTCCCTACTGACTATAGATAGACATATGTCACAATACGTCTCTGCTCCCCTGGGCTCGGCATCCTCTACAAATGCCCACTGAAAATCCCTGACACTGTTTGGATGAGTGCCTCATTTTCCCAACCCTCTGGCCCCTGCCCAGCCACCTACTGTGCCCTCCTCCTAACAGGGCCCTTGGCCACTTCCCCAGGCTGAAACCTTGCTCCTTGTTGATTGCAAATGAGATCAGCAGGCCCAATACTCCTTGCCTTTGACAATCCTTTCCTTCGTAACAGAAAATCAGCAGTGCCAGCAGGGCATGAAAACAGCCCAGTTTATATATATTTGTCAATATCTCAATTTATGGTCAGGCATATTTGGGGAATTTGGAACAAAACTGAATGGTTACTGACTAGCCCCAGATTGACATTTTGCAATGGCTCTCCATGGCAGTTCAAGGAACTGTGTGGGGCATTGAAGCCTCTTCAATTGCATCTTATCTTGTCCCACAAACACCCACTATTGAGTCAACTCAAGGAAAACACTTTGTTTGATTTTTTTTTTTTTGAGACAGAGTTTTGCTTTTGTTGCCCAGGCTAGAGTGCAATGGCGTGATCTTGGCTCACTGCAACCTTCGCCTCCTGGATTCAAGTGATTCTCCTGCAGTGGCTCTGTGACCATCTCACCCCTCTAGCTCCCATGCCTGTACCCCCACTGGTCCCACCACAGGGGATGCTCTTCCTACTCCTGTTCCCCTTTTACCTGTATACTTAGAATCATCTTTCAGGTCTCAGCTGAGTGCCCCCTCCTCCAGGAAGCCTTTTTGACTTTCTCAAACTGAGTAAGGTTCCTCCTGTAAGTTCCCAAGTTGCCTAAAATAAACCTTAGCACATTGCCTTGGGCTTGTTCCTTGCAGCAGGTGATAAATTCCTAGACATTCAAGTATTATGTTTAGTTCACCAGTCATGTCCTCAGGGCCAAGCCTTGTGTCTGCCACAGAGAAGGTACTCAGTATTTGTTGAATAAGTATTAGCTGGCTTCAAAGTGTCTAATAATTTGAGTTGAGGGTATATTCTGAGTTAATGAAATCTCAGGTTTTATACTATATATAAAAGTGAAATCCAGGCCGGGCACAGTGGCTCATGCCTGTAATCCCACCACTTTGGGAGGCCAAGATGGGTGGATCACCTGAGGTCAGAAGTTCAATACCAGCCTGCCCAACATGACAAAACCCCATCTCTACTAAAAATACAAAAAAATTAGCCAAGTGTGGTAGTGGGTGCCTATAATTCCTACTTGGGAGGAATTAGCTACTTGGGAGGTAGGAGAATCTCTTGAACCCTGGAGGTGGAGGTTTCAGTGAGCCGAGATGGTGCCATTGCACTCCAGCCTTGGTGACAGATTGGGACTCGTTTCAAAAAAAAAAAAATTGTGAAAGCCAGGTGCAGTGACACACAACTGTAATTCCAGGTACTTGGTAGGCTGAGATGGGAGGACATCTTGAGGCCAGAAGTTTGAGGCTGCAGTGTACTATGATTGCACCTGTGAATGGCAATTGCACTCCAATCTGGGCAACATAGCAAGAACCCGTCTCTAAAAAAAAAAAGTGGAAAATAATTAGTTCATGTGCTGATGTGTTATATTAATATTATTGTTATGTTAATACATCAAATATATTTACATACATAAATATTTTAGAATCATATAAGCACAAATTTTTAAAATACTGTATTATTAAAAATGGAAAAAATAAATATGCAACAATCTAACAATATAAGCATTATTTATTTTCCTCCAGCCCTTGTCTTTGGGCAACTAAATTTCCCCAAGTCCCAGTATATGTTCTTTTTATCCTTTTACTTTTTTTTTTAGACAGTCTTGCTCTGTCGCCAGGCTGGAGTGCAGTGGCGAGATCTTGGCTTACTGCAACCTCCACCTCCTGGGTTCAAGCGATTCTCCTGCCTCAGCCTCCTGAGTAGCTGGGATTACAGGTGCCTGCCACTATGCCCAGCTAATTTTTGTACTTTTAGTAGAGATGAGGTTTCACCATGTTGCCCAGGCTGATTTCGTACTCCTGAGCTCAAGTAATCCACCCACCTCAGCCTCCCAAAGTGATGATTACAGATGTGAGCCACTACGCCTGGCCTCTACCATTTTACTTAGCATTACAATATCAACATTTTTCATGTTGGAATCATGACCTTTGGAGCTAAAAGAAATGTTAGGAATGTTCCCATCCATCTGCTTTATTTTTAAATATAAGGAAACTGAGGCTCAAAGCAGTGAGTGACTCCAAGTCTCCCAATAAAATAACCATTCTAGTTTCTTGACTTCCTGATCTGTGATGTCATTTTCCTGCCCTGAAGTCTTTGAAATTTTCTTTTCTTTTCTGTTTTTTTTTTTTTTTTGAGACAGAGTCTCGCTCTGTTGCCAGGCTGAAGTGCAGTGGTGCAATCTTGGCTCACTGCAAACTCTGCCTCCCTGGTTCAAGCAATTCTCCTGCCTCAGCCCCCCGAGTAGCTGGGATTATAGGCATGCACCACCACGCCTGGCTAATTTTTATATTTTTAGTAGAGACAGAGTTTCATCACGTTGGCCAGGATAGTCTTGATCTCTTGACCTCGTGATCTGTCCACCTGGGCCTCCCAAAGTACTGGGATTACAGTCAAGAGCCACCACGCCCAGCCGAGATTTTTTTAGACACTTTCTCTACTTTTGCATCTGAACAGGAAAACTTTGTTTGTTTTTTGTTTTTTTGAGATGGAGTTTTGCTCTTGTTGCCCAGGCTGGAGTGCAATGGCATGATCTCAGCTCACCGCAACCTTCGCCTCCTAGGTTCAAGTGATTCTCCTGCCTCAGCCTCTTGAGCAGCTGGGATTACAGGCATGTACCACCATGTGTGAGTAATTTTGTAGTTTTTTAGTAGAGACAGGGTTTCTTCATGTTGGTCAGGCTGGTCTTGAACTCCCAACCACAGGAGATCCTCCTGCCTCAGCCTCCCAAAGTGCTGGGATTATAGATGTGAGCCATTGCGCCTGGCAGGAAAACACTTTGAAATGAGTATTCTGCAGAACAGATAGATCATAGTTGGACTTGCATGCAATCATTGGTTAGAGTTTAATTACATAAAACTCTATACTCCCATGGAATTCTCATACACTGGTGGTGGGAGGATAAATTAAATTGATACAACCACTTTGGAAAACTTGTTAGGACCATTTTGCAAAACTGAACATCTACCTACCCTCTGACCAGTAATTCCTTTCCTACATATACTTCCATCAAAAACGAGTGCTTAGGGCTGAGCATGGTGACTCATGCCTGTAATCCCAGCACATTGGGAGGTTTAGACAGGGGGATCGTTTGAGCCCAGGAGTTTGAGGCCAGCCTGGGCGACATGGTGAAATCCCGCCTCTGCAAAACAAAACAAAACAAAGCTGGTCATTATGGCTCATGCTTGTGGTCTCAGCTGCTCAGGAGGCTGAGGCAGGAGGATCACTTGAACCCAGGAGTTTGAAGCTGCAGTGAGCCATGATTGCACCACTGCATTCCCGCCTGGGTGACAAAGCAAGACCCTGCAGGAAAAAGGAAGGAAGGAAGGAAAGAAGGAGAAAGAAAAGAGATGAGTGCTTAGGTTTAGCAAACATACACACAACCCCAACATCTATCCACATTAGAATGGATAAATAATTATGATCTATTCATATAATAAAATACTGATCAACAATGAAAAACGATAAACCTCTGCTACATGTCAAACCATGAATGAGTCTAATAGACATAATGTTGAGTGAAAGAAGCCAGGTAGGCTGGCACGGTAGCTCATACCTGTATTCCCAGCACTTTGGGAGGCTCACTTGAAGTGAATATTTCTAAACCAGTCTGTGCAACAAAGTGAGACCAGGTTTCTACAAAAAGATGTTTTTTTTTTGAGACAGGGTCTAGCTCTGTCACCAGGCTGGTGTGCTGTGGCATGATCTTGGCTCACTGCAACCTCTGAACTCCGGGCTCAAGCAATCCTCCCACTTCAGGCTCCCGAGTAACTGAGAACAAAGACATGCACAACTATGCCTGGCTATTTTTTTTCTTTTTATGTACTTTTAGTAGAGACAGGTCCGCATATTGCTGAGGCTGGTCTCAAACTCCTGAGTTCAAGCAATCTACCCACCTTGGTCTAAAGAAAAAAAGATTTTAATTAGATAGGCAAAGTGGCATGTGCCTGTAATCCCAGCTACCCAGGAGGCTGAGGCGGGAGGATCACTTGAACCCAGAAGTTTAAAGTTGCAGTGAGCTATGATTGAGCCATTGCACTTCAGCCTGGGTGGCAGAGCCAGACCCTGTCTCTAAAAATATATATATACGGGCCGGGCACGGTGGCTCACGCCTGTAATCCCAGCACTTTGGGAGGCCAAGGTGGGTGGATCACGAGGTCAAGAGATCGAGACCATCCTGGTCAACATGGTGAAACCTCATCTCTATTAAAAATACAAAAAAATTAGCTGGGCATGGTGGTATGTGCCTGTAATCCCAGCTACTCAGGAAGCTGAGGCAGGAGAATTGCCTGAACCCAGGAGGCGGAGGTTGCAGTGAGCTGAGATCGCACCATTGCACTCCAGCCTGGGTAACAAGAGCGAAACTCCATCTCAAAAAAAAAAATATATATATATATATACACATATAGAAGCCAAGGATAAAATATAATATACTATACCATTCCATTTATATAAAGTTCAAGATAAGACAAACTAATCTACAGCAATAAAAGAATAATGAGCCAGGCAATGTGATTCTTGCCTATAATCCCAGCACTTTGGAAGGGCAAGGCAGGTGAACAGCTTGAGTCCAAGAGTTTGAGGCCAGCCTGGGAAACATGACGAGACCCTCATCTCTCCAAAAAGCACAAAAAAGTTACCTGGGCATGGTGGCACATGCCTGTTGTACTAGCTACTTGGGAGGCTGAGGTGGGAGGTTCACTTGAGCCTGGAAAGTCGAGGCTGCAGTGAGCTGTCATTGCACCACTGCACTCCAGCCTGGGTGACAGAGTGAGATCCTATCTCAAAAAATAAAAAATAAAAAAAATAATAGTAGTTATGTGGGAAGGCAGTTATTGATTATAGGGAACACGAGAGAGTTGGTAACACTGGGGGCTGATAACATAACTAATATCTTGATAGAGATATTAGTTATGTGAGTGTTTATGCATGTAAAACTACATCAGGTGGTACACTTAAGATTTGTGTACTCTATGTGTAAAATAAAACTGTATACATATATTATGCTTCCTAAACTAGTACAATCTGAGTAAGTCAGTAGTCTTGTTAATTGCCAATTAATTTCCTGACTTTGGTAATGCACTTACAGTTATGTGAGGTGTTACCATTAGGGGAAGTTGGATGATAGGTACACGGAACCTCTGTACTATTTTGCAACTTCTTGTGAGTCTATAATTTTTTCAAAATATGAAGTTAAAAAAATCTTATCCTTCCTATTTTTCATTTAAAAATCAGACAGTTCAAACATACTATTATTTCCATCATAATCCTTCTTGCCTTCAACTAAATTTATGGCTCAAATTCATTTATTTTCTTTTCTAAGTGATTACAGGCTTGCCCCTCCCTCCCTCTGTCCCTTCCTTCTTCCTTCTCTCCCTCCCTTCTCTCCTTCCTTCCATCCTTCCTCCATTCATCTATCTACCTGTCATCCATCCATTATTAAATCCTTCCTTCTTTCCTTTCTCCCTTTCTTCCTTCCTTCTTTTGTTTTCTCTTTCCTTCCTTTCCTTGACTATCATTGAATCTGGTTTGTGTCTCCTTTCTGCCCCCTCTAAATCACCCCACCTCAATGAATCCCTGCTCTGAGAGAGTATCTCCACTTTTCTGCCCATAGGCTCTTAGTGCCCCACACCTTGGTGAATCTAAGAGCTAGAAGTCTAGAAGTCTTAATTCTAGTCTCCTCTCTGCTCCAAATCCTGCTGACCTGTGGGCAGACCTCTAATTTCTTTTCCTTTTTTTTTTTTTTTTAGGCAGAATCTTACTTTGTCACCCAGGCTGGAGTGCAGTGGCACAATCTCTGCTCATTGCAGCCTTGCCTCCCGGGCAGCTGGGATTGCAGGCTCCCACCACCATGCCCAGCTAATTTTTGTATTTTTAGTAGAGACAGGGATTCACCATGTTGGCCAGGCTGGTCTTGAACTCCTGACCTCAGGTGATCCACCCACCTGAGGTGGCCTCCCAAAGTGCTAGGATTATAGATGTGAGCCACTGCACATCTATATTTCTAGGTCTGGGTTTACCTGTTTGGAAAATGGGTTGAATAATAGATGCCTCCTTCACCAGGATGTTGAACTTTAATTACTGTTTGCAATGTTGCATAAGAGAGGAGATGAAAGGCAGTTTTAAAGTCCATGTTACTGGCATTAGTAGCACAGCTGAGGAATTTGTTTGTGAGTTTGTAAGGTTGTTATAACTGGGAAAAGGGTGAAAAAAGGGTTGGTTTTATATGGAAAAGCCTTACCCAGAAAGCAGCCACAGATTCTGGTTAGTATAAATAGCAAGAACACGTTGTACCTCAAAGTACTTTGCAAATTTCACATTCTTCCATGCCCCTGGAAAGATAGAACCCACAATTCCAAAACTGAAAATAAGGAGTTTACCTGGGTTTAAGGCAGGAAAATTCAAGAGCTGAGTTTTGGTGAAGCTGTCCTCAGTTCTCTTCACAATTTACCAAAAAAAAAAAAAAAAAAAAAAAAAAAAAGCAGTTAAAGCACAGAATTCTTCATTTTTACCATCAATGCTTTGCTTTTTCTTTTTGTGTTCTGATCACATTTCTATCAATATTACAGTTAACAAGAATTTTTAGAAACCTACCATTTTGGGGGAGCACTTTATAAAGGAAAGGTTAGGATAAAATAAAAGGCTAAAACTCAGCTCAAGCCTTCAAAGCATTTACCATCAAACCAGAAGATAAATAGGAGTGAGTGGCCTATATTTAGAATTTACTTCACAGTGACCTGTTATTAATAATAACTGCCCCCTTTGGAGTGTCCAAAGCCCTTTAAAATGCGTACTTCATTTGATCCACCGACAGTGCTGGAATTACAAGCTCTGGTTTAAAGATGAGAGATTGAAGCTCCAACAGAAGTGACTTTTCTAAGGTTACAAAGCTGCCAAGTGATGGCATTGGGACTTAAACTTGGTCTTGGGAATTGGAATGGTCTAGAGGAATCTGGTGGAATGATGTAGTGTTCTTTGCACTGTACTGCTGTCCTAGTAGAACTCAAAGGAGAGCCCTGGCTTTTTGTCCTAGGTTCAATGCTAGTCTGTGCCAAAGACCAATGCCATGTGGCATCTAATCAGAGAGGAGGTGTAGTTTAGAGGTTAAGGGTGTGGGCTTGGACTCAGAGGCTCTGGTTTTATTCCTGGCTTTTAATGGCTATAAGGATTGGAGCATACGACTTGACTTTGCTGAGCTTCAGTTTCCTCATCTGTTAAGTGGTTATATAATAACAATGTTTCCAACTCTAATAAAAGAGATAATCTATGAAGAGCACTTAGCAATGTGCCTGGCAGAGGTAAGCTTTGCCAAAAGCTATGAGGTGATCTTAGTAGAGAAATGAATCGCTGGCCAGTGCACCTTAACCCCTGAAATGAATCATCTTGGGCTAAAAATTCAAAAGAATTAAAACCTAAACCAAACCAAAAAAAAACTCTTTATTTTATTTTGTTATTGTATTATTTATTTATTGAGGCTCTGTCACTCAGGCTGGAGTGCAGTGGCGTGATCTCAGCTCACTGCAACCTCCGCCTCCTGGGTTCAAGTGATTCTCCTGCCTCAGTCTCCCGTGTAGCTGGGACTAAGGCACATGCCACCATGCCCAGCTAATTTTTTGTATTTTTAGTAGAGTTGGGATTTCACCATGTTAGTCCGGATGGCCTCTATCTCCTGACCTCGTGATCTGCCTGCCTCAGCCTCCCAAAGTGCTAGGATTACAGGCATGAGCCACCACTCCTGGCCTATTTTATTTTATTTTGTTATTGTTATTATCATTTTGAGACAGAGTCTTACTCTGTAGCCCAGGCTGGAGTGCTCACTGCAACCTCTTCTTCCCGGGTTTAAGCGATTCTTGTGCCCACTCAAGTAGCTGGGATTACTAGTGTGCACCACCACACCCAGCTATTTATTTTAATTTTTATTTTTAGTAGAGATGGGGTTTTACTATGTTGGCCAGGCTGGTCTCAAACTCTTGGTCTCAAATGATCTGCTTGCCTTGGCCTCCCAAAGTACTGGGATTACAGATGTGAGCCACCGTGCCCAGCCATTCAGAACCCTTTTATTTTGAGATAACTGTAGATCTCTGTGCACTTGTAAGAAAGCATATGGAGAGATCCCCTAAGTCCCTATGTCCTTTGCCCATTTTCTCCCAATGGTAACACCTTGTATAACTATAGTACAATGTTACAATCAGGAAATTGACATTGAAACAATCCATCCACCTTATTTGGATTTCGCCAGTTTTATATTCATTCGTGTGTGTGTGTGTGTGTGTGTGTGTGTGTAGTTCTGTACAATTTGATTGTGGGTGGATTTGTTTGACTGCCACCCACAGTTTCATCACAAGGATACCTCATGTAACCCTTTTATAGCTACAGTCTTCTCCCTTCCTCCCTGCCTCCTGGCAACCACTAATCTATTCTCCATCTCTATAATTTTGTAATTTCAAGAATGTTATATAAATAGAATTACACAGTATGTAGCCTTTCTTTTTTTTTTAATTTTATAAATAGAGATGGGGTCTTACTTTGTTGCCCCAGGCTCGTTTCAAACTCCTAGGCTCCAGTGATCCTCCCACTTCAGCCTCTCAAAGTTGTGAAATTATAGGCTTGAGCCTATAGACCAAAGGCTATGTTCAGCCTTTTTTTTTTTTTTCTGGACAGGGTTTACTCTGTCACCCAGGCAGAAGTGCAGTAGTGTGATCACGGCTCACTGCAGCCTCAGTCTCTCTGGGTTCAGGTGATCCTCTCATCTTAGCCTTCTAAGTAGATGGCACTAGAGGTGCACAACACCACTACTTTTTGAATTTTTCTGTAGAGACAAGGTTTCACTATGTTGCCCAGGTTGGTCTCAAACTCCTGGGCTCAAGTGATCTGCCCACTTTGGCTTTCCAAAGTGCTGGGACTACAGGCATGAGCCCCTGGGCCCTGGCCTATGTAGCCCTTTGAGATTGACTTTTTTTTTTTCACTCAACACAATTTCCTTGAGATCCAACAAAGTTGTTGCAGGTATCAATAGTTCCTTCCTTTTCATTTTTGAATAGTATTCCATGATACGGAGGTACCACCGTTTGTTTCCTATTCACCCATTGAAGGTCATTTGGTTTCCAATTTGGGTCTATTATGAATAAAGCTGCTATGAATAATCATGTGCAGATTTTTTTTAACTCTTTTTTTCGAGTTCAAGTGTTCTTAGATATATATATATATATATATATATATATATATTTTTTTTTAAAGACTAAGTTTACTCTGTTGCCTGGGCTGGAATGCAGTGGCGTAATCTCAGGTCACTGCAACCTCCGCCTCCCAGGTTCAAGTGATTCTCCTGCCTCAGCCTCCCAGGTAGCTGGAATTACAGGTGCCTGCCACCAGGCCCAGCTAATTTTTGTATTTTTAGTAGAAATGGGGTTTCACCATGTTTTCCAGGCTGGTCTCAAACTTCTGACCTCAGATGATCCACCCTCCTCAGCCTCCCAAAGTACTGGGATTACAGGCGTCATGTACAGATTTTTGCGTGAACATTAAGTTTTTCATTTCTCTGGGATAAATGCCCAAGAGTACAACGGCTGGGTATCGGTAAGCATATGTTTAATTTTTTAAGAAACTGTTGTATTTTTTCCAGACTGTTTTTGCCATTTTGCATTCCCACCCGCAATGTATGAGTGATCTAATTTCTTTGCATCCTGACCAACATTTGGTGTTATCATTTTTTTTTCTTTTGAGACAGAGTCTCGCTCTGTAGCCCAGGCTGGAGTGCAGTGACATGATCTCGGCTCACTGCAACCTCCGCTTCCCAGGTCCTGGTTCAAGCAATTCTCCTGCCTCAGCCTCCTGAGTAGCTGGGATTATAGGCACGCACCAACATGCCCAGCTAATTTTTGTATTTTTAGTAGACATGGGGTTTCATCATGTTGGCCAGGCTGGTCTTGAACTCCTGACCTCATGATCCGCCCACCTTGGCCTCCCAAAGTGCTGAGATTAAAGGCGTGAACCACTGCATCTGGCATTATCATTGTTTTGTATTATTTTATTTTATTTTTGAGATAAAGTCTTGCTCTGTCATCCTGGCTGGAGTGCAGTGGTACGATCATAGCTCACTGCAGCCTTGACCTTTTGGACTAAGGTGATCTTCCTGCCTCAGCCTCTAGAGTAGCTGGGAACACAGGCATGCTCCACCATGCCCAGCTATTTTGTTTTTGTTATTGTTAAGAACAGGCTCCTGCCATGTTGTCCAGGCTGGTCTCAAACTTCTGGGTTCAAGCGATCCTCCCACCTTGACCTCCCAAAGTGCTAGGATTACAGGTGTGAACCACCTGGTCTGTTTTTTATTTTAGCCATTCTGACAAATATGTAGTTATATCTCATTGTAGTTTTAGCTTGCATTTCCCTAATTACTAATGATGCTGTGCATCTTTTCATGTGTTCATTTTTCACCTGCATATCCTCTCAGTGAAATGTCTATTCATGTCTTCTGCCCATTTTCTAATTGGATTGTTTGATCATTACTGTTGGGTTTGTCATTGTTTTAAAGATGGGGTCCTGTTATATTGCCCAGGCTGAACTCAAACTCCTAGGCTCAAGCAAGCCTCTCACCTCAGCCTCCTGAGTAGCTAGGACTACGGGTGTGTACCACTGCACCTGGCTTACTGTTGAGTTTTGATAGTTCTTTGTCAAGTATGTAGCTTACAAACATCTTCTCCCCATCTGTAGCTTGTCTTTTCATCTTATTCACAAGGTCTTTCACAAAGTCAGTTTTAAATTTTGATGTGGTACAATTTATTTTTCCCTTTATGGCTTGTGTTTTGGTGTCAAGTCTAAAAACTTTTTGCCTAGTTCTAGATCCCAAAGATTCTTTCCTGTGTATTTTTCTTAAAAGGTTTATAGTTTTATGTTTTATATTTAAGTCCTTGATCCATTTTGAGTTAATTTTGGTATATTATCCAGGTTCTTTTTTTCCTCCATGGATGTCCAATTGCTCTGGCATTATTTGTTTAAAACGCAATTTTTCGAGTATAAAGGGAGCGGGGAAGGCGGGAGACAGCGCAGTTTGAATCGCGGTGCGACGGAAGAGTAGGTGGTGGGATCTCGCCGTGGGTCTGATTAGCTCTTTCTCTGCCTTGCTTGCTTGAGCTTCAGCAGAATTCGAAATGGCTGGCGGTAAGGCTGGGAAGGACTCCGGAAAGGCCAAGACAAAGGCGGTTTCCCGCTCGCAGAGAGCCGGCTTGCAGTTCCCAGTGGGCCGTATTCATCGACACCTGAAATCTAGGACGACCAGTCATGGACGTGTGGGCGCGACTGCCGCTGTGTACAGCGCAGCCATCCTGGAGTACCTCACCGCAGAGGTACTGGAACTGGCAGGAAATGCATCAAAAGACTTAAAGGTAAAGCGTATTACCCCTCGTCACTTGCAACTTGCTATTCGTGGAGATGAAGAGTTG